TATTAAAATCCATCCAATCCTACTCCTAGATACTAGAATCCAACCCTACTCATAGATACTAGAATCCAATCCTACTCCTAGATACTAGAATCCTATCCTACTCATAGATACTAGAATCCATCCAATCCTACTCCTAGATACTAGAAACCAACCCTATTTCTAGATACTAGAATCTATCAAACCCTACTCCTAGATAATCGAATCCAATGCTACTATCAGAGACTAAAATCCAACCCTACTCCTAGATACTAGAATCCAATCCTACTCCTAGATACTAGAATCCATCCAACCTACTCCTAGATACTAGAAACCAATCCTACTCATAGATACTAGAATCCAATCTACTCCTAGATACTAGAATCCAATCCTACTCCTAGATACTAGAATCCTATCCTACTCATAGATACTAGAATCCATCCAATCCTACTCCTAGATACTAGAAACCAACCCTATTTCTAGATACTAGAATCTATCAAACCCTACTCCTAGATAATCGAATCCAATGCTACTATCAGAGACTAAAATCCAACCCTACTCCTAGATACTAGAATCCAATCCTACTCCTAGATACTAGAATCCAATCCTACTCCTAGATACTAGAATCCATTCAATCCTACTCCTAGATACTAGAAACCAACCCTACTTCTAGATATTAGAATCCATTCAAACTTACTCCTAGATATTAGAATCTATCCAATCCTACTCCTAGATACTAGAATCTATTCAACCCTACTCCTAGATACTAGAATCCAATCCTACTCCTAGATTCTAGAATTCAATCCTATTCCCAGATACTTGAATCCATCCAACCCTACTCCTAGATACTATAATCCAACGTTTCTCCTAGATACTATAATCCAATCCTACTCCTAGATACTATGGAATCCAACCATACTTCTGAGTACTAGAATCTATCCAACCCTACTCCTAGATACTATAGAATCCAACCCTACTTCTGAGTACTAGAATCTATCCAATCCAATCCTACTCCTAGATACTATGGAATCCAACCATACTTCTGAGTACTAGAATCTATCCAACCCTACTCCTAGATACTATAGAATCCAACCCTACTTCTGAGTACTAGAATCTATCCAAACCTACTCCTAGATAATAAAATCTAATCCTGCTCCTATATACTAGAATCCAATCCTACTCGTAGATACTAAAATCTATTTGATTCTACTTCTAAAACATAGATGGAATCCCAATTTCCCCTAAAAATTAATTGTTCATTCATTTTTATCCAAGTTTCGTTTTTCAAGGATTTTGAATAATTAGATATTTCAGATTATTATTATTATTCAAGTACATGTATTGCTGCAATGATTCCTTCGAATAAGAATCTCATTGCAACTAATTTTTGGCAATTTTAATATTATACTATATTATATTAATTTTATCCAATTGCAAATTCAATTCACAACTCAAATGTACGCAATGCACCGGGCTTTATCGTAATATTTAGGAAAGATATAAATTTGAGTTGATAGGATATCGTAATTGTTATTTTTTAAAAAAGTTTGAATATACGATTCTGTAATTGTTATTTCAGTAAAAAGTTTGAAATATATGCAAGAGAATGATTAAATCTTCTTTGTTGAGATATTTAAGAAATATCCATATCTTAATTTCTGGACTGGGGTTTTTTCTTCCGGCTGTACTAATTACAGGTATATATATCTATATATGTCTATATGTACGTCTATATATATAAAGTAGTAATCTCTTTGTGTTTGTTTGTCTATACTGTACTGTACTGTACTGTACTGTACGATGACCATTATTATCCTTTCGAAATTTCAAAATCTTTAAGAAATCTTAATATCTAGGTTGTGGTGCGGAGTTCCCTGGATTTATCACCTCCTCTAAAACAGAAACTGTGCTAGGAAAACATTATTTTAATCCGTAAAATATTATTAAATAGCAAATTAGAAGCAACAATAATAACGAAAAGAAAAATCTAAACTAATTCAGCGATCAGTGAATTAAAAGATAAGACGCTAAAGAACCTGTCAAATCATTCGTTGGGATGTTTAGAAAGATGAAAATTTCCCTGTATGATAATTGAAGGACTGCAGTATGGTTTTGGTGAATTATATTGGCGTACAAAGCCTAGGGGTGTCAGAAATGTTTTTTTTTGCATACTTTTAAAAACTTCTAAAAAACTTTTTAAGTTTAATTTTTGATAAAACTTTTTGTTTTTTATGATTGCAAATATCTATCTAAAACTTTCTTAAACCGGCATATTTTTTCTATATTCATTTAGTTAAGAGTTTGAGTCAAAATAAGTATTAATAAATATTGCTTTATATCGAGTAGATATCCTTAAACATACCGATGTAAAACCTTACAGAAAGTAGGAAAGATTCTGAAAAAAAAGTTGCCAAACCAAACAGAATTTTTATTTTGAACAAAAATATTTAGAACTTAAAGAAGCTTTTTCAAAAAACTGCAAAAAAAATCATATCTGACACCCCTAGGCTTAGTACGTCAATATAATTCACCAAAACCATACTGCAGTCCTTCAATTATCATACAGGGAAATTTTCATCTTTCTAAACATCCCAACGAATGATTTGACAGGTTCTTTTTCTATTTTATATAGTATCTAAATTTTTATTCCAATAGTGTAATAGAAAACCCCTGTTGCAAAAAAAGGATTGAGCATGTTTGTACAAAACCACATAGTTTTTAAATTTAGTTAGAAAGTAATTTTAAAAATATAATCAAAACACAAAAGGTAGTGAGATCTTTAGTACAAACGATTTTTCTTCGATTTATAAAGTTATTAAAAGCGATCCTAGACTGTACCAAGTAACCATGATCCTAGAATATATCCTAGAATATATCCTAGAATGTATCCTAGAATGTATCCTAGAACCCTGATCTTAGAATGTATCCTAGAACAATGATCCTAGAATGTATCCTAGAATATATCCTAGAATGTATCCTAGAATGTATCCTAGAACCCTGATCCTAGAATGTATCTTAGAACCCTGATACTAGAATGTATCCTAGAACCCTGATCTTAGAACGTATCCTAAAACAATGATCCTAGAATGTATCCTAGAATATATCCTAGAATGTATTCTAGAATGTATCCTAGAACCCTGATCTTAGAATGTATCCTAGAACAATGATCCTAGAATGTATCCTAGAATATATCCTAGAATGTATCCTAGCATGTATCCTAGAACCCTGATCCTAGAATGTATCTTAGAACCCTGATACTAGAATGTATCCTAGAACCCTGATCCTAGAATGTATCCTAGAACCCTGATCCTAGAATGTATCCTAGAATCCTTAACCTAGAATGTATCAAGGAACCTTGATCCTAGAATGTATCCTAGAACGATGATCCTAGAATGCATCCTAGAACCCTGATCCTAGAATGTTTCATAGGATGTATCCTAGAACGTATCCTAGAACTCTTATCCTAGAATGTATCCTAGAACACTGATCCTAAAATATATCCTAGAACCATGATTCTAGAATGTATCCTAGAATGTATCCTAAAATGTATTCTAGAATGTATCCTAGAACCCTTATCCTAGTATCCTAGAACCATGATCCTAGAATGTATCCTAGAATGTATCCTAGAATGTATCCTTGAATTTATCCTAGAATGTATCCTATAGAATGTATCCTAGAATGTATCCTAGAACCATGAACCTAGAATGTATCCTAGAACCGTGAACCTAGAATGTATCCTAGAATGTATCCTAGAACCGTGAACCTAGAATGTATCCTAGAATGTATCCTAGAACCGTGAACCTAGAATGTATCCTAGAATGTATCCTAGAACCGTGAACCTAGAATGTATCCTAGAACCGGGAACCTAGAATGTATCCTACAATATCCTAGAACCGTGAACCTAGATTGTATCCTAGAATATCCTAGAACCGTGAACCTAGAATGTATCCTAGAACCGGGAACCTAGAATGTATTCTAGAATATCCTAGAACCGTGAACCTAGAATGTGTCCTAGAATGTATCCTAGAACCGGTAACCTAGAATGTATCCTAGAACCGTGAACCTAGAATGTATCCTAGAATATCCTAGAACCGTGAACCTAGAATGTATCCTAGAACCGGGAACCTAGAATGTATCCTAGAACCGTGAACCTAGAATGTATCCTAGAACTGTGAACCTAGAATGTATCCTAGAACCGGGAACCTAGAATGTATCCTAGAATATCCTAGAACCGTGAACTTAGAATCTATCCTAGAACCGTTAACCTAGAATGTATCCTAGAATGTATCCTAGAATGTATCCTAGAACCGGGAACCTAGAATGTATCCTAGAATGTATCCTAGAACCCTGATCCTAGAATGTATCCTAGAATGTATCCTAGAATGTATCCTAGAATGTATCCTAGAACCGGGAACCTAGAATGTATCCTAACATCCGAAACATGACAGTTGGTGAATAGTCTTCCAAAATTTGTTAAGTTGTTTGATACCAAAGATATAATAATAAAGGATATTATATGGCAATCATATTATAGTAAAACTGATTTCAATGTAAAATATATGAAAGTAAAAGATTTTTGTTAACAAAATTAACTGCAAAAAGTCTGTAATGTCTAGTATAGGAGGACGACATTCAAAACTATTCACTGACTGTAATGCCTCGTGGGACCCAAGGGTATAATGCAAGGAAAGTTAATTGCGGTCGCGTATACTCTGCGTACATATCGAAACCAGTTCTCTCCGGGCGGAATTTGTAAATAAGAATAGATGCATCAGTGTTCGTTTAGTATCCGAGGAGGTTAAACGCATTAAATTTGACAATTTTGATAATTCACATAATAGTTTCCTATAACCAGAATATTTCATTGATTTTTTATGTGAAAGATGAATCCCATGTCAGGCTTTGACATCCGTCTTGTGTTTACCGCCCAGAGACAGTACACTGCAGTACACTTCTGAAATAACTTTCTTTGCATTACATCCTTGGTGGGACCCAGCCTTTACATAGTATTGCTGGAAATATTGTAGAGAGAGGAGCTTTAATTACAATTTTCTAATCTTTAAATTTTCTAATCCTTAAATCTCACAACCGTTAATATTTCCAAATGTAAATGAGACTAAAGCAAAGATGTTTCCCCCATCATCAGGTGTTGAAGATATTGGGATTTGAAAACTAAATTTAGAATTCAGTTCCTTTGAACCCTGATTCATAATATGACAAAAGTTTTTCCTTATTTGTTAAAAAATGTTAAAGCCGGCCGAAGTGTTACCTTGTACTGCTCTGTCTCCGGTCTGAGGAATCATAGGGTAAATATAAACTTTAGATCGTTTTTAAACAAATCCCAACCCTACTTTCTAGCACTAGAATTATATCATTTTCTTCTCAATATATTTCGGCAACAACTTTGGCATCATCACGAGTTTTTCCTATACAAATTTCAGATATAAGCAAAAAAATAAAAAAACTTTATATAAAAATTTTTTTTTAGACAAAAATAAAAAAAAACTTTTTATGTAACCTTTACAATAAGGAATTTTTCAAAATGAATATTTTCAAATTTTCAAAACAAATAAAACTTAAAAGAAAAATTAGAAAACCGTACCTTACTCTTTTGAAGAGTATTGAATGACTGGAAAAGGATTGACTAGTTTATGGGCGTATGCGGGGGGGGATGTGTTGAAGGGGGTAGAATTGGTCGGCAAAACGGTCGAATACATGAATTCGATCAACACTATAAGGTACTGTTGGTAATACATAAACATACAGCTTAAAACAAACATAATTCTTTTTTTTGAAATAGATAGAAAAAAGATTAACGATTTTTCGAATTACAAGTTTACAAGTAAACAAAGAGAAGCTGTTAATTGACAACTTCTCTTTCTTCACATTTTTATGTATCTCCCAGGGAACAGGAATAAAGGGAAAGGAAATGGCGCTGGTTCGGCAAGAGAAAGCCAGTCGCACTGCTTTGCAGACCGGTACAGTAAACTTACAAACACTCTTCTGGTACAGACACACAACATGACTACAGTCAAGGAAATTGTAGAACAATGTCGTCAATTATAATTAAACTTGAATAACGAGTAGTTTTATTGTAAACTTTAATCAAATTATATTCTTTGCATAAAAATTTGGCTTTATAGTGTTGACTTAAATATGTAAATAATATATTACATGTATATTCAACATATGTTTAAGTAAACAATTAACAATAAACAAATGTACTCTTCTAGACTGTACAAATACCGAGATTCTTACGTACTGTATAAACCTACAGTACACACCTTCGGTACTTTAAACTGACACACACTCTTTTGGTACAGACACACACACATGACGTTTCCGCCCCCTGGTATCTCCGCAGTTTGAATGATTGTGAGAAATCAAAATTGAAAAAAGTCGTCTTCCTTGTATTGATATGTACATACAACGACGACTGTATTTCACATCTTTAATTTATTCATTTACCAAAGCTTTTAAAAAATGCAGTCAATATACATTTTTTCGGAGATTTGATAATATATTTTTAATTAAATTTTTTTTTCTTTATTTGTCTCTATAGGTATCCTGGATAAAGTCGGATACCAAGGCAATCCTATCCCTCAACGGTCAACTTGTTACTCAGAACTCTAGATACCAACTTAGTATCCAGGTATACACATTACACACTAGTACAGTCATAACCTGAAAACTCCGAAATAGGAAGACGACTTTATAGCAATGTACGTAGCCTGTAGGTGTATTTGATGTTGTTATAAAGCAAATAATTTTACTAGACACTTATTAAATTTCAAATCAAGTTAAATGGGTCTGTTTACACTGAATAATTTCTGTTTCCTGTGTTCATTGGACTATTTAAAGTCATAATTTAAGTTTAAAAGTCGTCTTTCTATTCCAGAGTTTTCTGGTTATCACTGTAGTCAGAGCATAAAACTTAAGACAGGGTATCATTATGAAACCCAATATCGCAAACCCGGTTTCACAATTAGGGCAGGACAATTTGTAGATTTCAATATATTTCTAAGGAAATGTTTTTTCACAAGGTTAGTTATATTTTTTCTCTTTATTTTCTATTTCTTGGTAAAAATCTACACAAATATACCGACCCCGAAAAGGAAAGTTTCATTCATCTATATACTACTTTAAATTTCCGGCTCCGGTATACACAGTACACACCAAGGTTATAATTCAAGGAAAGTTATTTCAGAAGCGTATGCATATTTTGTACTGCAGTGTACTGCGTCTCTGGGCGGTGTTGTAAACTCAAGACGGATATCACAGCCTGACATGGGATCCTTCTTTCACTAAAAAAATCAATGAAATATTCTGGTCATAGGAAACTATAATGTGAATTATCAAAATTATCAAAATTAAATGCTTTTATCCTCCACGGATATTAAACAAACACTGATGCATCTATTCTTGTTTACAAATTCCGCCCAGAGCGAACTGGTTTCAATTTGAACGTAGTGTATACGCAACTGCAATTAACTTTCCTTGAATTATAACCTTGGTACACACTGTCAGAACAAATCCTTTAGTTGTGTTTGATCTATGTAAGTTTGATCTTGTAAACATATGTAATAACTTAGATTAGTTCAAGTATACTTGTACAGTCATGCTTTGTCCTCCTGTTTGAGAGTATTCTCTGTCCTACACTCCTACTCCGGAGAGTAGGTATTGGTGTTTCTTGACTCAAAAAAAAAAATTGGGGTCATCAAGTTGAGGTGTGCGCGGAGATCTATCTTTAGTTAGTTATATAAGTATAGTAACATAGCTTGCATAGCTAGGTTAACTGTCTATCTTCTCTTTATAAGACTAAGCATCTGTTAATGTTTGAATACTGATTTTATATATCTTTACTACGCAATTGCAAATGTGTCAGTACTATAGGTATAACATTTCCTTTTATATTCCTTAGTATAAGACACGGCTCCAATTGAAAAATAACATTTCAGGAATATAAAAAACTCATGTCATCATGTACTTTTATAATAAAAAATTATCTGTGCCTTTGACAAAAAAGATAAAAACACACTTCCACAAGGGAAACTAATGGATATACATATCTTGGATTAAAGTAGGTTGCAATTTACGGTTTATGCACGCATGTTTGCCACACTCTTGTGCGCCCTAATTGCAAAATCTCTCACAAAATTTTATTAGTGCAGGCTTAATGAGAGACACCTTTTTAAATACGTTCTTCAGTGTAGGTGCTAATTCAACCAGAAAATAGTTCCTATTTCAACCAGAAAATAGTTCCTATTTCAACCAGAAAATAGTTCCTATTTCAACCAGAAAATAGTTTCTATTTCAACCAGAAAATAGTTCCTATTTCAATAAGAAAATAGTTCCTATTTCAATAAGAAAATAGTCCCTTTTTAAACCGGTAAATAGTCCCAATTTTAATCAGAAAACAGTCCCTGTTTCAACCAGAAAATAGTTTCTATTTTAACCAGAAAATAGTCCTTATTTCAACCAGAAAATAGTCCCTATTCCAACCAGAAAATAGTCCCTATTTCAACCAGAAAATAGTCCCTATTTCAACCAGAAAATAGTCCCTATTTCAACCAGAAAATAGTCCCTATTTCAACCAGAATTATAAATGTTTGAAAATAGTTTTCCCTCTAACTTTACCGTTCTAATTTTAAACTTTGAATGAACAATTAGAATCTACATAGTTGAATTTAAAACAGGTTTGAAACTTCAAGAATGATGAAAATTAATTTAGCTCGTTTATAAATTTGTTTACTGTGGTCGGCATTTATATCAATACAATAAAGACGACTTTCCTGTTTAAATTTTGCTCTAAGCTTTTTTTAAATTACACGTTTCCAAGTAAACAAAGACAAGCTGTTATGGACAGTTTCTCTCTGTTTCCATGTTTATATGTATCCATGATGTTTGAAACCTTGGTCGAAAGTCGTCTTCATTGTAGTACTCTGTAGGGCCCTGGATTCTTCCAGTTAACTGTATCTAACATTACTCTCTAGGACCCTGGAACCTTCCAGTTAACTGTTCCTAATATTACTCTCTAGGACCCTGGAACCTTCCAGTTCACTGTATCTAATATTACTCTCTAGGACCCTGGAACCTTCCAGTTAACTGTATCATAATATTACTCTCTAGGACCCTGGAACCTTCCAGTTAACTGTATCTAATATTACTCTCTAGGACCCTGGAACCTTCCAGTTAACTGTATCCAATGTAACTGTTGAGGACAATGGAACTTATATCTGTCAGGTTAATACAGAACCTCCAGCTAATCAGGTATTTATTTTTATCCAACCTTCCAAAGATCTATTTTTTCACTCATTTTTTCATCCTTTAATTCATGTATTAATATCCTTCATCATTTGAAAGGAACTGATATTAACATTTATCCCGATTGTATGGTACAGACATAAACCATGCTGTGATCTTATGATTTCATGAGCACATCAGTCTGAAGTTTTGAAAACGAAATTAATAGAATATCATTGATAAGACGACATTTTAAACAAACTTTATTTAGGAGAGTACACTGCTTGTTGTGACGTCCCCTCGGTTTACGAATACCAGTGAAAGTGTGAAACAAGTTGCTCTGGGGATCACCACATTTCTCACGTGTGAGGTAAAACATAAATAGAATATTTGCAGATCCATTTAAAGAGCAAAAGTAAGTAAAAGGTCTATTTTTACGGAAGTTGCAGTATACAAACTGACAGCACAAACATTTTTCATTCAAAATATATTGTTAATAACAAAATAACTTAAGTTAGAATAAATTTCTTGAAAAATTTTCTAAAATATAGTTTAACAATGATTGTTTGCAACATAGATTAATTAACAATAACAGATAGAACACTAAATGTCGTCTTTTAAAGATTTAGGGATTTTTTCATCCAAAATAACCCTGAGGCGGAGGCTCAAAGGAGTTACGCCCATGCCTTATAATTCAACACTGGCTGCGCAGAACTCCTTTAGGCTTCAGCCTCAGGGTTATTCTAAACAAAAAACCCTTATATCTTGAAAAGACGACATCTAGTGTTCTATCTGTTATTGTTAATTAATCTATGGTTTGTAGGCTGAGGGTGTCCCGAGGCCTACAGTCTACTGGAAAAGAGAAGACGACATGAAGATGATTCTCCAGGTCAATAAAGATATAAAGAGTTGACATGCCCCCCATCATCCCACCCCTTTTCCCATTTCCTGTCTGAGCTAGCTGGAACCCCCTTCCATTAGCATCTGATTATATTACTACGTGTGCATTTTAATTAGTATTCCACCATAGAGTCTGCTTAAAGCTGAGAACAGGATGCTGCTTGCTTTCTTTTACAAGGTTTCAGCTTTACACAAACTAGCGCCTTTACATAGTGTAAGAAATGTTTTTAAAACCTGATTCTCCTTGTTCTCAAGTACACTTATACTCTATCTGTTATAATTTTATCTACAGGATAGAGGAGAAATACAGAAATGGAAAGGGGTTCTTCTTCCTTTAGCTCCCGTAACAAGAAGGTCAGACATTCAAGTTTTTAAGAAATAAAAAATAAAAAAAATTATTTAAAATTTTGATTCATGGTGTCAGAATAAACATGACAGTTGAGAAACTGCATTTGGACAATTTTGGAATAAATAAAAAAGCTTAAAATAATCAAAATTCTTTATATATCACGGTTATTTTGAAGGCAAACTATTTTTAGAAATTTCAATATCGTTTCAAAAATGATAGATTTAAAAGTAGTTTGAAAATGAATGCTACAAATCATTTCAAAGATCAAAGACGATCTTCAAACCATCTCTCAACTGTCATGTTTTGTGGAACACCCTTTTCATATTTCACAATTTGAAAATCAAAATATTCCATTTTTAAACAGAATAAAATTTGGGTCTACTTTACATCTTATGTATAGACATGTTTGTAAGTTAATTTTGATCATTCAGAAAAAAAATATATATAAAATAAATTGTTCAAATGTACATAATTCAGATGATAATTAAGTGATTTTTAAAAACTGCTATTATTTGTGGTATTTATCTAATTATTTAATAAAATTATAGCAACCTTTGTCATCAACGATCTATCAAAGATTTCCATGTTTTGGGACACCCTAGATAGTTTGATAGTTTCATATAGTCTCTCGTACAGCTTACCTACTGTTAAGACAGCTGTACATTTAACATAATATTAAAATATCAAAATTTGTGAAAAATTTTAAACTAATTTTTTTATTTATCTTTTAGCTCGAGTGGAAAGTATGTATGTATCGCAAATAACGGAAATCCTCCGACAATAATGAAGACCTTCACTGTACACGCTATGTGTAAGTGTTAATTTTAATCAATTGCGGCATTCTTATGAATAAATTTCATGTCGTCTTCCAAGAAATTTCATCCGTGGATCTTTAAAAACAAAATGGCGACAAAAGAGGAAATTTTGTGAACGAAGAGCACATTTTTTTGACAGTGTACAATTTCAAATTTGCAAATTTATCTTTGAAAAAATTTAATCCACTTCAGATGTTTTATTACTATATAAACCTCACCATATGCGTAAAATGTAATAAATATAATAAAAATCTTAATCAGTATAAAGAAGGCCGGTTGATTATGAAAAGTTAAATTAACAAAATTTAACATCTATTAAAGGAGAGTAAAATAATGAAAGAGCACTTAACGACTTGATGTAATTCAGAAACTAAAATATAAAGTTTATATGGATTATTATTTTTTTAAATGGCTTGAACGTTCAAAAATTGTAACAAAATCAAAAATTATACATTACGATCAAGTTAAATAGGATGTTAATCCGGTTAAATTTAAAAAAAGTAATTTTTAATTTTATACACAGCCTTACATCGAAAGAATTCATCAAATCTCGTATTCTTCACTTTCTGATAATGCAATGTTGCAGATATTTAGTTTTTTAATTAAATGAAAATATGGAACTCTTTAAAACTGTTCACGCATATTCATTGCTATTTATTTATTTTCGCAAATACTGAGATTTACGTAAAATAGTATAAAACTCATTGAAAAATTGTCAAGACGACATTTGATAAATTCTTTCGATTTACGGCTCATTTAGGGTTTAATTGTATACAAGCTAGGATTTAATCCAAAAAATACCTGAACGAAATAAATTGAAATTATCATTTGTTTTAGTTCCTCCTGAAGTAGCTGCCATCAATTCTTCTCTTGGTGCTGTCAGGGGGAGTGGAGTTGCCCTTGGTTGTTCTATTCAAGCCTATCCTCCCCCTACTATACACTGGAGTAGGAGTAGAGGTAAACTATCCTTCCCCTATTATACACTGGACTAGGAGTAGAGGTGAACTATCTTTCCCCTACTATACACTGGACTGGGATTAGAGGTAAACTATCCTATCCCTACTATACACTGGACTAGGAGCAGAGGTAAACTATCCTATCCCTACTATACACTGAACTAGGAGTAAAGGTAAACTATCGTTCCCCTGAACTAGGAGTTGAGGTAAACTATCCTCCCCCTACTATACACTGGACTAGGAGTAGAGGTAAACTATCCTCCCCCTACTATACACTGAAGTAGGAGTAGAGGTAAACTATCCTATCCCTTCTATACACTGGACTAGGAGTAGAGGTAAACTATCCTCCCCCTACTATACACTGGACTAGGAGTAGAGGAAAACTATCCTATCCCTACTATACACTGACTAGGAGTAGAGGTAAACTATCCTCCCCCTACTATACACTGGACTAGGAGTAGAGGTAAACTATCCTCCCCCTACTATACACTGGACTAGGAGTAAAGGTAAACTATCCTTCCCCTACTATACACTGGACTATGAGTAAAGGTAAACTATCCTATCCCTACTAAACACTGGACTAGGAGTAGAGGTAAACTATCCTCCCCCTACTATACACTGGACTAGGAGTAGAGGTAAACTATCCTTCCCCTACTATACACTGGACTAGTAGTAGATGTAAACTATCCTCCCCCTACTATACACTAGACTAGGAGTAGAGGTAAACTATCCTCCCTCTACTATACAAAGACTAGGAGTAGAGGTAAACTATCCTTCCCCTACTATACACTGGACTAGGAGTAGAGGTAAACTATCCTTCCCCCTACTATACACTGGACTAGGAGTAGATGTAAGTATCCTTTCCCTACTTTACACTGGACTAGGAGTAGAGGTAAACTATCCTATCCCTACTATACACTGGACTAGGAGTAGAGGAAAACTATCCTATCCCTACTATACACTGGACTAGGAGTAGAGGTAAACTATCTTCCCCCTGATCTATCTTTACTAAAATAGGTGATAAAACTGATTTTGATATTTTTAGGAGAACTAGAAGGAATCGCCGACACAATAGAACTGAGGTAAATTCTTTGAATAAAATATAAAAGTTGAAAAAAATGATTCACGCTTTATAATACATGAAACATGACAGTTGGTGAGTAGTGAATATCTTCTTAGATATTTTAGACTGATTGCAGTTTACTTTGTTAAACAAATCTTCCACTCAAATTCATTCTTACTTTCAATCAATTTTTCTATAATATGACTGCCATAAAATATTTTTTATTATTCTCTTTGGTATCAAAAAAATTAACAAATTATGAAAGACGACATTTTAAACTCTTCGCCTTCTTTGAAGCGATTAAGTGCTTAATGCGTGGAAAACAGCTGTCTTTTACTTAATCTGTTAAACCATGATTCGGATTAGAGTGCTTTGCCAAGGGATTAACACTACAAAAGTTCCAATCTTAAAAGCTTCATGTTCTAGTGATGATCTGACGGAAGCAAGGCTTGAAATTGATCACGTGACACATGCAACTTTTGGTAATTATATTTTAGATTAATTGTACCAAAGAAAAAAATTATTTTTTTAACAATGGATTTTCACAACTATTGCTTCTTTCAGCCAGAAAATGTGCCACTGAAACCAAAATAGATGCCATGACGTTTTTAACAATTTAAATTTATGTATCGAATATAATTACTGAAAGGCTAAACGAGCGTGGGTCGGGCGATATCCAAGGGTAAGCGCTTGCCGCAAACACTATTTTGTGACATATGTGGGTCGGAGGTAAAGCGGGTGTGGGTCAACTTCTCCTCATAGTTGAATACCTTTAATCCTGTTCCCCTGATAGTTGAATACCTTTAATCCTGTTCGCTAAATTATAATATCCATTGTGGACTAGTTTGAAGTGCTTGTCATACTAATTGAGTTTTGATTTTCAAGCTTTATTTGATATATTTTAACCCATAGAGTGTTGAATTTAGAGTGTTGAGTTCAGAACGTGTCGAGTTTTGAGTGTTGAGTTTAGCGTTTAGATTTTAAAATGTTACTTTAGAGTGTTGAGGTGAGAGTACTGAGTGAGTTTAGAGTGTTGAGTTTAGAGTGTTTAGTTTAGAGTGTTGAGTTTAGAACGTGTCGAATTTTGAGTGTTGAGTTTAGAGTGTTGAGTTTAGAGTGTTGAGTTTAGAGTATTGAGTTTAGAGTGTTGAGTTTAGAGTGTTGAGTTTAGAACGTGTCGAATTTTGAGTGTTGAGTTGAGAGTGTTGAGTTGAGAGTGTTGAGTTTAGAGTGTTGAGTTGAGAGTGTTGAGTTTAGAGTGTTGAGTTTAGAGTGTTGAGTTTAGAGTGTTGAGCTGAGAGTGTAAAGTGTTGAGGTGAGAGTGTACAGAGTTTAGAATGTTGAGAATTTGGAGTGTTAAGTTCAGAATGATGAGTTTTACAGTAATTTAATAGTTTAAAGTGTTGCAAGTTTACAGTATTAGGTAAAGAGTGATGAGTTTAAAATACATGAGTTTTATAGAGTTTTGAGTGCGCAGTGGAGTTTAGAGTGTTGAGTATTGAGCATGGAGTGAATTAAGTATTGAGTGTTGCACAAATATGTAGGATGGTCTAGGATGGTTAAAAATTGAACATATCTGAGATATACACACGACAACTCTGAAAGTTAGTCAACAAATTCTTAGACAGCCTCGTCTTTAAAGTGTCCCAAAAACTTGGCTCTTGGTTTTACCTCTCCAACTCACTTATACTTTTTTTGTAGCCCTAGATATATAATTTTCAAAAATGCAACGCGCTTGTTTCTAGCTGAAGGAGTAATCGACAAAATACTGTTAGATTATTGCGTGACGAGATATCTTGGTTTGCAGTGTGTACAGGAGTTGCGTGAGGCTAGGCACTATAGTTGTTATAAAGGTTCTTTACNCTCCCCAACTACAAGGTTACCTAGACAATAATTCAGCTGGTTGTGAAGAATTTTCAACCATTTAATACTTGATACTGGCTCTCTGATTGGTCGAATGCTTGATCCTGCAGGATTTGTTTGGTCGGATTGTCATGGTGATTCAGAATTTACTTTAGTTTACTAACGCTAGGTGTCTCTTAAAACCAAATTACTGCTTAAAGATTGTGAACAAAAAATATTAAAATTAATTACAATAAAAATTTATATAAAATAGAATTTTTTCCGAAAAGTTTTGCAATAAGAAATCTTTTCTTTGGGTAAATTTTAAAAAATTCTTTTTTTATTTAAAGCTCGAGAAAACAATATAAGCCATATAAGCCTGTAATAAGCCTTAATGTGATGATGGTAACTGTTCGCATTTCGTATAGGATTTGAATTGTTTGGCGGGGCTAACCCCCCACTTTCCCAATCTGACTCTAAATGCGTGAAAGTTAAGTGTTAGTTTAAATACTCTTAATAGCAGGAACCACATGGTTTAAATAAACATAATTAAAGGCTCATATGTTACGCTAAAAAACTGGATTAAATGAATTTACGCAAATGCTGTATCATTTGCTGAGAACAGAATCATGTCCAATTGATTGATGATTAGAGACTGGAAAGGTTTTCCTGCTTGCAGGGGGTTAAATATTTAACTCGATAAAATTTAAATATTTAATCTACAGCTTAATTTAGGTCACAAGCGGAGTTTAAGCTGAAACTTCACATTTAAGTAGTATACTTTCATTCTTTAGTTTTGGACTCTGGGGCCGGCAGATATTAATAACCATGCTGGTCGCAGTGTTTTTGACAATTGTTTAGAATAATACAATTTTGTTTGTTTGTAGGTAGATGTCCTATCTAAGAATGGTTTATTAAAGATAAATGACTTGCATTGAAGCATCGTGAGGGGGGATACATAGGATACATAAACAACTTAATATATCATAATATAAGCAATAAGCATGCTGAACACCTACATATGCATGCTGAATATCCACTCTGCATGCTAAACACCTACTTCTGCATTCTCAATATCCACTTCTGCAGGCTAAACACCTACTTCTGTATGCCGAATACCTTATTCTGATAATTAAGAACTACTTCAGTATGCTAAACCCCTATATACTTCTGCATGCTATATAACTACCACTGCAAAAAGAACACTACATTTTTTGCTTGGTTAATGCATGCTGCACTCGTTCTCTATGATCTGCATGCTGCATACCAATTACATATTCTGCATGCTGCGTACTTAATTCTCATCTTGTATACTGTAAACCCCATTTCTTGCATAGCTCCCTTAATTAAGCTTTCGGTGTGCGTACTCGGATCGAAGAAATACTGGAGTTTAGTGGAGGGTGATTGGGGTTTCCCAACTATTAATTAACAAGCATATATTTTGATGAAAATATTTTTGAAATTTGAAAAAATTCTCAACATTTTGTGGAGCCGTTTAAGTACGAAAACCTTAAAAGTCTTCAAAGCTAAATGCCCAATACTACCCAACACTATAAAACCCCGAAACGTTAATTGTAAATATGTTCATGTTTATTGAGTCTTAATCGTTAAAGAAGTAAAGTATCATATTTAAAAATATATCAAGCTAGACTACAGTAGTGAGCAGCAGCCCCGCTTGTATTAAACTGTCATTATTAGTATATTATTGTATATTATTAAGTCATCATCATAAAATCTACATATTATAAGATTCTGCAACTATCTATCTATCTGTCTATCTATCTATCTGTCTATCTATCTATCTGTCTGTCTATCTAAATATCTATACAATCTATACATAAATTTAGCTTGTCTGTCCGTCTGTTTGATTGTATCCAATAAACGTCAAAACGGCTCAACCGATCAGGCCCAAATTTTAATATGTAATCTTAAAAAAATGTAATCTTAAGTTATTTAATTTTGTAAAATTTTGAAAATGCGCGAAAAAATATTATGAAATCCGCAAATAAAAAAATAAAAATTTTTTACACTGCACATAAAGAAGATGCTCACAGATAAACCCACAATTAAAAGTTGAAAAAGTAGATGGGCGCGAAAACCCTAGTAAGAATATAAGCGTACTAGCTTGGGAACCCAGAGCCCGAAATTTAAAAGAGTATCGTAGAACGAAACTCAAGAGTTTCCTTGTTGGGGTCTTAACATTTGTGTAGATTTTGATTTAAGGATATGGAGGATATGAAGAAACTAAATAAAATCATATTTTACAAGAAAAATGTTGATTTCCACATAGTTGCGCCACTGGTAGAGGCTGAGGCTCTATAAGAGACTCTTATGTTGGATTTCCTTAGTTCTGATCGCTTAATCTTGATATCCAATGTGGACAATTTTGATTTTCTGCTTAATCCTCTCTTTTGGATTTCCTGGCTGGGTTCCGACCAATGATATAGTTCTCTGAGTGTGCGCCAAATTTCCCGGCTTCTGATTGGGGTTTCGGTTTATGCAAAGAACACTGTGATTGGTTTAATTTTAGACACTTTCCAGGATATTAAAATTAAGATTATATTAATCTGCAGATTAATATAAAAGAGTAGATCATTCATTGATTTCTAAAGTTTTCAGCTCGGTACAATAAAACCAAACCAAATAATATTGTTCAGAAATGTAAACATGTAGAGCTACCAGTACAATATCAATAAAACCAAAACAAACAAGACTGTACACATACAGAACCAGCAGTTCAGTATAAAAAAACCAAACCAGCAGTGCAGTGCAATAGAACCAAACCAAATGATTTTGTTCAGGAGAGTACAACGGAAAAACTGTAGCAGTATATAAAACCAAGCCAAAAAATATTGTACAGGACTGTATACATGTACACATACGAGTTAGCAGTGTAGTACAATAAAACCAAACCAAATATTATTATTCAGGACTGTACACATGTAGGGCCAGCAACCAATTAGGCTCAGCAGAGGCTGTAGTTCTTCTTAAAGGTAAAAGTCAAAGGAACTGTAACCGTAATTTCAATTTAAAGGAACTGTAAGCGTAATTTCAAGTGACCCTCTATTTAAAGAGGGACACAAGCCTTTGACCAGGAAACCTTTATCTGATCAATATTGTGCAATATAATGTGTTTTCCTAGGCTAAAAAGTGTTGATTCTGTTTAATTCTCCCTATTTTTCTGCAGTAGAAATGCGCAAGTTATAGAGAAATCACAATTAAAAAACAACCAGTTTTTAAAATTAAAAAGATGGATAAATGCAAACTTGATCAAACAAATCTGTAAAGAGCTTACCATTGTACATCTGGCATTGCCATCTTTACGGGGTGGTCAATTGAATTTAATACACGGTCCCTTTAATAGATAATTATAATTATTATTCTGAGTTGATAATAATAACAACAATTAAATTCAGGAGACTTTCGATGTAGCTTCAAATAGTAACTTTCCCGATTTGAAAATTATCTGAACAGTTTCTCTGAAGGAAGTGTTTGCAAAAAATAAAGGGGGTATAGGCATACAACGAAGAATTATCTATAGTGATCGCTACTAATCTTACTTCTATCTGTTACATTTATAAGGAGAAAATTGTTAAAAACAATTCATACCGAAGAACATGGCGTCCATACAAATTCAGAAAGTTGCAACTTTCGACTCAGATTCTCAAAATATTTTTGATTTATTTTAGAAAAGTTTGAGGAGAGGGTAAAAGAACCAACACAGTCTTGGTGGGAGAACTACTCAACAAAAGGGACAAATTTTGTTTTTAATTATTAATTTTTTTTCATACGATGCATAATAAGATTAAGACCAAATTTTTTTTAATTCACTTCTAACTATTTAGAAGAAATTTTTAGTTTGTCAAATAAAATATGCCAGCTCAGAAAACATGCTTTGAATGCATGTTTGAATGTGTGGAAAACAGAAGCCACTTTTGACCTGGAATTCTATTTTAAATTTAAGCCAATAGGCTAGAACCACGGCTTGATGCACAAGGGAGAAGGAAAAAGGATCAGCCGGGACTTAAACCGAAATGGAGTTAGTAATCAAGAAGGATTAGAAGGAGGAAGATTAACCTGTCGTATGAGACAAATGAATGGCGGAGAGTCCGCCAGAGAGCTCCGGCTTTTCACAATTCTTTAGTATCAACCATTATTTGTTCTTTTTTATAATGTAAATATATGTTTTCATAACTCTGTAGTTTTACTCACATCAGTTTCAGGCTTTAGATTTCCTTTATTTTACATCACTATTAAATTGTAACAATATATTGTTAATTATTTGCGAAACGAGTTTTTAAAATTTATTAAGCTAAAGTTGATTTATTTTATTTACAGTAATTCACATTGTTTTTAATTGAGTCACAAACACAGATTTTAAGATATAAATGCAAACCTATATAGTAGCCTTTAAATATTTCAAACTAGGAAGTTTGAAATATCCTCAGGTTGGACAGATATAATGATAAGAAAATTTGAGTTTGTGGCGAAGACTTCAAACGAAAGTATTTTCTTTGTAACGAAAAGTCTCTAAACCTTTCTGATATTTTTATCAATAAAATTTGTCTGATCAGAAAAAGAGAAAAAACGACGGAAAGATATGGCAAAACTAAGGTTGGGCGAGAATAAGTATAAAACAAACAAAAAATTTAAATAAAAACATTATCAATTTTTTTTTCTGAAACCCATGTTTAGGAGAAATGAGCAAAGAAGCACGGTGAGAGGGGTTGAAACATCAAATACCCAAGAGGAAAACAAAATATGTTCAAGCATATTTCTAAATTTTGAGAAACCCTCAGAAAAAAATGAACATGTCGGATTCACAACGGCCTCTTTTAAAACTTTGTTTGAGTAAAAATGATGAAGATATTCTAGTTTAGTTTTATAATAAATTTTTTTTTAAAAGTTTAGATTTAAGATTCTCTACAAAAGTGGCGAAAAAATTAAAAATATGCCCTTGAAACCTAATAATCAAAATCATAACAATTCTGCCGAAAAAAGAAGTCATGGAACTAGTTCTTTTAATTGAAATATTTAAAAATTCATTTAGTATTTTGTTTTTCTTGTTTTGAAGTAAACAAAAATTTTAAGGTAAAGAAATTTTGTTGTTTAGAGCAGTACAGAGGAATACACGGCAATGTTTAGTTCTTCTTTCTCCATTCATCCAACCCTGCTCCATTATACTATCCACTCCATACTATTCATGTTCTCCATTTATTAGTTCTCCATTCCTCCAACCTTACTCCATTATAGAATCCACTCCATTCTATTCATGTTCTCCATTTATTAGTTCTCCATTCATTCAACTCTACTTTATTTTACAAACTACTCCACTCCAGTAATCAACTTCTGCTCCATTTTATCATCCTCCACTCCAGTCTGGTCCTCAAATTTATTATTTAAATGTTTTTATCTTTGAAATATATCAGTACTTAAAAAAGTAATATTCTACAAAAAATTTTAAAAATAAAGTTATAATAAAAATTTACTTTTTGTTAGTTGCGAGTTAAAAATTTAAAAAATGTTTGTAAATATCTTAAAGGTTCAAGATTGCCATACATTCTTATTCTTTTTGGGATTTTAAAAAACAAATTTTAATAATTTTGTTAAACATTTTATTCTATTTGTATCTTTATATGAAATTAATAAAATAAAATGTCTATTTCTTGATATCTAACATTTATCAGAAGTAAGAACTAATTGTGTTGTGATTCTCCGGATCAAACATTGATCTCCCATGTTTTGCAGACCTACGGATTAATCTACAGGGTGTCCCAAAAAACGTGGGAATTCAGTGACGAATTCGATATCGTCTTTGTTATGAATTAGCATTGTAATACCTATTTTCAAAAGCCATAATATTATTATGTCTGTTAGAGTTTATTTTATGAAAAGTGTAAAAGACTGTTAAGAATTGTCTATAATGTCTCCGCAAGATGAACAGTGAAGACGGACAAGTTTACTCTGTTTGTAAACTGTAATTTTCTTGTTTTACTAAGTACTTGTATGCAGTCAACACATAAACAAACAAATTCTAAACATAGCAGACGAAAATCTTACAGAGTACAGCTTTCTCAGTAGGTATCACTAAACTAAATCAAAGAATTATTTAAAAAGACGATATCGAATTCCCTGTAATTCCTTTTCGATATCTAGTGATGGTTATACCTTGCAGGGACAACTTACATTGAGTGATCCTTGTATCCTCAAATATTGAAATTGAGATCCAGAGTTAACAAGATTAACAATATCCACACAAAAGTTGCATAATAAATAATAATAATAATAATAATAATAATAATAATAATAATAATAAATAAAGTTTTATTTCTATTATATATATCGTTTAGGTTTTACATTTCTAAATGCGCTATGTTATGAAATTTAATATCAAAAAGTAATTTTTATCAAAGTGGCTGAATGAAATGTTTGAATTATCATAGAAAAGATAACATTATGAAATTTTAATAAAAAGCGCATTTTTTTGGTAACAAGATCTGATGATATTTTGGACAGACTGTTTATTATAATTGTGTATATACAAGGTGTCCCACTAAACATGACAGTTGGTAAATAGTTTTGAATGTTGTCTTCCATACACTGTATTAGATATTAACGGCTGTTTTCATTTTATTTCGTTTAAAAAATCTTTTGCTCAAATATGTTTTACATTAAAGTTAATTTTAATATAATATGACTCCTATATAATATTTTTATTATTGTCTTTGGTATTAAACAACTTAACAAATTACGGAAGAAGACATTCTATTTACCAACTGTCATGTTTCGTGGGACACTCTGTACATTAAGAAAATGTTTTGGACACACTGTTTACTATATTGTGTGTATATATATATAATGTACTGCATTTCAACTTGTTGTCGACCTTGGTGGAAACCTGCACCATTAAGTATATTTGTACGGTATAACTAGACGTGATTAAATGGATAGTATTGCGGCTGGGACAAGCTATAGAGACCGAAGTATCTCAAGAGATTGTAAAAATTTAAGAAATGGCGTAAAAACATGGTGCTCGAATTTAAGGATAATTTCAATAGGACTAATTAGGACTAAAATTCGTATTATATTGTATAGTATTGTAAATTGTTTTCAGTTCAAACCTTTTGAAAGAAAACAAAAAGTTTGGGCCTCTTTTTTATTTTTCTGAAGATATTTAATTTTTCCGTTTTGTTTATTGAGAATTCATAAATTGTGTTTATACAAACTGTATTTCGTGGTGCACCCCTCACCCTTCAGTAAAAGTAAATTCAACCTAAAGTCTGACCGCGTCAACCTTGTTGTACCGGCTTGTCCTAATGAGTGTCTGCTTTATTTACCCAATATCCGGGCGATACAGTAAAAAAAACTGGGACCGGAAAGGTTGACCCGGCTCGGAAATTCAAATGTACTACGGCTGCCCGTGTCGTATAGTATACCTCATATTAAGGAGGGATCGGGGAGAGAGTACAACCACAACAATTTGTAACCTCTACAGAAACAGGTTGTATTAGATTAATAAGCGTGCTAGGGGTGAGAGATGGGCCGGGCGCGTTCGTTTTTTTCATTTCGTTCGATTATCGTTCGTTTTCTTCGATTGTTCAAGTTCAACAAATAAATGATTTCGTTTGTAATCAAAATTATCGTTTACTTTTTATCTATTTCGTTCGTTTTTTCACTGAAAAGTCAACCAGTAAAATCGATCGTTCAGCAAAATCGTTCGTTCAATAAAATTGTTCGTTCATTAAAACGATTATTTTTTCATTTCTCTGAACAATCCATTTTGCTCTTCCATCGTTCGTTTTTTTTCGATCGTTTAAAAATCGGTAATCATATCTAGCTAGGGGCACAGCAGATTTGTGTGGTGGGGATTGTAAACTGTTGTGGTTGCCCCCCCCCCCTCTTCTTGTATATATATATATCTCGTATATGGATATATATGGCACGTTGATCTGAATGATATTGAAGATTAAAGATCTGGAATAGTAATGTTATTGCAGTGTATTGCTAGTATTTCTACACCCAGCAACACAACAACATCTTTAGATCTTAATCTTTACTTTAACTTTACCAACACACATTTAAAATTTTATAAATTCGTAGTATTAACGTTGCTTGGCGCCACTCGTTCCTTGACTTTTCAGCTTAAACACAAGGTCTAAACTTGGTTATTTATAACAGCACATGAATTCAGTAACTAATGAGAGATAGATAGTCATGAAATCATTTAAATTGCATACAACGTGGATGTGATATTAAGGAATTCTTATATCTTTGCAACCTGATGGCGTAAACCTTTGATATTACAAACTTAAGTTATTTGATCTAACTAGATTTATAGTTTGAAATATATAAGGTCTACGACATCGGGTTGCAAAGATATAGGGATTAGAAAATCAGATTTTGTGGCAACGACTCAATTCTTTTGTACACTATTTAATCGATTATTACTATTTTCTACGATTTATCAAAGCCCTCACAGCGATCTTAGCTGATTCCACATAGTTTAGGAAATTATGCATTATCTATTGAAACCGGGCCTGAACTTATGGTCAAGGTGTACCAATCCACGATTACTTTCGTGTAGCCCTAGAAATAAAGGTTTTAAGAACAAGTTCTTTCTAGATTCAATTTTTTTTAAATGTGCATGATTTTGTTCACTTGCAATAAAATAAGAAATTATGAGGTATATTATTTTTCTAAGATAAAAAAAATTTTTTTATATTTTTCCTTTCAGATTTTTTAGTGCCGGACTCCTCCTAGGTAGTTTTTAACACATGAGCTTGGAGTTAAACCTGGACCCGGAGAAACTTGAAAATATCATGTCGAAACCAGATTTTAAACACAACAGGAAATTAAACAACATCATAATCAACAAATCTTTGCCAACTTAAAAACTTTAAGAATAAATGTTATGATATAAAAATAACAAACTAAAAGATTACCTACAAAGGATGCAACTCCAGAGATAAATCTGCTACGATTTTTAATTTTTAATTATAAAATGTCAATAAATTTTCTTTTTAGTTTGGAAACTTTTTATAAATATTTCTAAAGTAAAAGGAAGAGCATAGAAGGCAATCATTCCACAGTTTTTTATTCTCTCTGTATATAGGGAAATTATCATTTAGGAAAAATTTTAATGTCAATTTGGGAAGTTTTCGCTTTGGAAATTTTATAATTGAGAAGTTTCTCTTGAGAAATTAACCATTTGGGAAGTTTCCTCTTGTGAAATTCAGCATTTGGGAAGTTTAGAAATTGTGAAATTCAGTATTTGGGAAGTTTTCTCTTAGGAAATTTAACAAATTTGGGAAGTTTCCTCTTGGGAGATTTAAAATTTGTGAATTTGCAACAGGAAAAAAAACACAGAGTAAACCACTATATATAGTATTTTAATATTTGTTTAATCTAGAGTTATAAACCACTATATATAGTATTTTAATATTTGTTTAATCTAGAGTTATAAACCTCTATATATAGTATTTTAATATTTGTTTAATCTAGAGTTATAAACCACTCTATATATAGTATTTTAATATTTGTTTAGTCTAGAGTTATTGACCACTCTCTACAGTATTTTAATATTTGTTTAATCTAGAGTTATAAAACAAAAATCTCTGGGAGCTATTTCAACCAGGAGTAAAGGTTAGAGAAAGTTATATAACATGGAATTTGAACTTTGATAGGGGTTCAGTGACGGCTTTGAAGTTTTGAATTTGATTTTCTCCATAACCCCCACCCCCTCTACCTACAACACCCTTTTTTCCCTTCCAAAAATTAACAAAAAGAAATGACGACATTTCATTTTGTATTTCTGCAAGTTTGATGGACTTAAGGTTTTCGTTCAGATCTTTCCAAAAACTCTGATTTTATAATAAAGGGTAGTTATTGCAACTCAATGTCGTGAGGGGAGGAAGGCCAACCACATCAATCTCTAGTCCGAACCACATTCTCATCATTTTCTCGTCCGAACCACATCGAAATCTTCGTCCTTTCAATATTATTTTTTTGTGTCCGATCCTTGAAAATAAATACATTTTTTAAAAATATGGCATATATGGAATATCAAATTTTCCTAATTAATTTTTAGATTTGTGTAAAAATGAAAATGCTCCATAAACGATGTTCTACAAAAAAGCGTCTGTTTAAAAGCCCTTTCTTTTGCGGAAAATGCCGCAAAACATTCTCAAACTTGATGTAAACAACTTTTTGTAATATTCAAGCTGAATTTGGGTTAGAGATATGACTTACAATTTTTATATGATTAAATACTGTTTGAATTCATAGGGTTGTGACCAATTAACTGTAGCAAATGATTTGAATAATATAAATTGAACATTATTTTTTCTATAATTTTAAGCATGCGGCAGGCAGTAGTGATCTTTTAGTGGGGACAACAAATCTACCTTATTTGTAAATAAATCAGTTGAAATGGAAAGATTAAAGACCATGTTCACGCGAATTCTTTGGTATAAATTTTTATGTGTGAAAGTTATCCATTTTGGAGGCAAATAATATTTGACATCATTCTCGTAGATTTGAAGATTCCAACATCTAAAAATCCTTGGAAAACTTTATTCTAGTCATGTTTTATGCCCTAACGTCGCCATATTTTTAAAAAATGTATTTATTTTCAAGGATAGGACACTTAAAAAAAAAATAATATTGAAAGGACGAGGATTTCGATGTGGTTCGGACGAGAAAATGATGAGAATGTGGTTCGGACTAGAGATTGATGTGGTTGGCCTTCCTCCCCTCATGTCGTAGACCTTAGATATTTCAAACTATGAGTTATTTCTTTATCAAATAATTTCAGTTTGAAATATCAGATTGGAAAGTTATAAAGATTACAAAATATGAATTTTTGGCAAAGACTCTATTCCTTTGTTTCTAAAAAATATGTTATTTAGGAGAAAACATAAAACCGTACAGACAGCTTTCAGATGGATCTCTCCTCTTACGTAAAAGAAAAGACAGTAATATATCCAGGTTTAACCGATCATTGTATCCTTTGTAAATTGTAAATTTTATTGTCGAAAATATACGCAGTTTAACTCGGAACTTTGGAGATATCGAACAAATTAATGTAATGTCTCTTGACATTTTTACATGGATTTTATACTATTATATCTGAATCTCGGTAAATGTAAAATAAATGAATAGTTATGGAATATGCTGGAACAGTTTCAAAGAGCTTTATATAAGAATTTGGTTAACCCTATAAAGGCACTGTGGGGTCTGAATCTATATACGCCTGGGGGGGGGCGTCCCACGTCACCCCCCCCCTAGAAAAAGGGCTTAGAGAATAGGTACAGGGTTAAAATTCATGTTCATAGCACAATTTTTTAAGGCCAGCTCATTGAAAAAAGTAGACCAATAACTTTAACAGTTTGGGTGTTAGGGAGGGTTGAAAAAAATGCCAGAAAAAGAGTCAGAAAAATGAACAAAAAATTGGGTTTATACAAATATCAAAGTGTTGCACAACTTTCTGCATCCAAGGGCTTTTCAAAAATATAGTTTTTAGATCTGTAGCTTTAGTCACAAAAAAAATTATTGGCTATTATATATTTTTTTTAAAGAATGGTATTTTTTCCGTCTTTTACCCAACCCTTTGCATTAAAAAAAATTACAAAGAATCATTTAAATTTCATTCATTAAAAGTCAAAAAAAAATTCACGATGTAGTGTCAAAAATGAAAGTACTAGGACCAAAATCAACATTACACCCCCCCCCACCCAGCCTGTTTAGGGTTAAAAACTAAATATTTGCAGTATTCCATTATCAGTATCAGTTAAGTAATCGACATTTTATTTTTTCTTTCAATGTCTTTATAGTTTTGCTTAAACTGTAAAACAACCCAAAAATGTCTCAATATATGGAAATAAAAAGATTTCTATTATTCATAAACTGAACTCGGTCAAAATATGAAAACCAGTAAACACATTGTCTAAAAATATCCTTTGTGTTTTGGCCTTAGATCAAACTAATTAAAAATCTTTTAACAAAAAACATCTTGAACATCTTGAATCCATCCGTATCAACTTTTTTGATGTTTTTTATTCATTTAAAAGTCTCATAACAATATTTTAAAAGATGTTTTCTTTTTTTCTTCTTAAATGGAGTGACCGGCAATGTATGGTAGTTGAACTGAGAATGTAGTATTGTTGACGTTTTTTTAAAGAATCATTTGAAATCTATCAGACGTTTTTACGGTGCATATTTGTTCAGCAAGGGCGCAAATTCAATCTTTTTGACTTTTGAGGGATGATTTTGAGAATCGGTTTTTAAAAATATAAACATCTAATTAGTTTGCTGTTTAATTATTAACATTTTTTGTCGATTTAAAATATCGATTCTAAAAACGTAACCACCCAAATGGATAATTTTGAACGTCGACTTTGCGCTCAAACTCAGTAATTATACATCATTAAGACGTTTCATATGTCTCAAATGAACCCTTAAAATTTTTTTCCACAATACTACATTCTCAGTTCAACTACCACACATTGCCGGTTACTCCCTTTAAGGATTGGTCAGATTTACAATACCCTTAGAATTGGAATTATATAATATAACAATCTATCTCCCATATAATGACTATAACTGAACTGTAAATACATTTTATATTATTCTGTTTGTTTCTGAGGACCACAGTATATATTTAGAAATATTTGCTTTTATAGGAGAAGTTTTCTGGAACCCTTCCCTATGAATCCGGATATATTCAACAGTAAGTTGACATTGATTTAACTAGAAGCAAGGATGTAATGCAAGGAATTAAGTTATTTCAGAGGTCTACGCATCTTTTGTACTGCAGTGTACTGTCTCTGGGCGGTTATGTAAAACAAGACGGATGTTACAGCCTGACATGGGATCCGTCTTTCACATAAAAAAATCAATGAAATATTCTGGTCATAGGAAACTATTATGTGAATTATCAAAATTATCAAAATTTATTGCTTTTAACCTCCTCGGATGCTAAACGAACACTGATGCATCTATTTTTGTTTACAAATTCCGCCCAGAGTATACACCACACGACCGCAATTAACTTTCCTTGAATTACATCCTTGACTAGAAGGGTAGGATTCATTTGTTGTACAATTCAGTTTTGCCGTGTATAGTCTGTAAGTATATACCGTACATTGTACAATGTACAACCTGCACAAGCTCACTGAATTACTGATGGGCCTCGTTTATGTCAATATCTTAGTAAAAAGTATAAATTTTGCATAGTGTAATAAAACAAAATTATCAAGCATAACATCTAGAAAAGAACAAACATCTTAAATTATTAGAGAACACTGTTAACGGACCTAAAAACCTTGAGTGTTAAATAACGGACCTGAGAACCTTGAATGTTTAATAACAGATCTAAAAACCTTGAATGTTTAATAACGGACCTAAAAACCTTGAATGTTTAATAACTGACCTAAGAACTTTGAATTTTTAAAAACGTATCCTAAAAACCTTGAATGTTTAATAACGGACTTAAAAACCTTGAATTTTAATAACGGACCCTAAAAACCTTGAATGTTTAATAACGGACCTTAAAACCTTAAATGTTTAATAACGGATCTAAAAACCTTGAGTGTTTAATAACGGACCTAAAACCCTCGAATGTTTAATAACGAACCTAAAAACCTTGAGTGTTTAATAACGGATCTAAAGCCCTTGAATGTTTAATAACGGACCTAAGACCCTTGAATGTTTCATAGCGGACCTAAAAACCTTGAATATTTAATAACGAACCCAAAAATCTTGAATATTTAATAACGGATCTAAAAACTTTGAGTGTTTAACAACGGACCTAAAACCCTTGAATGTTTAATAACGGACCTAAAAACCTTGAATATTTAATAACGGACCTAAAAACCTTGAATATTTAACAACGGACCTAAAACCCTTAAATGTTTAATAACGGACCTAAAAACTATGTCCATCCCTTCCTAAAAGTCGATAGTTCATGAATAAAGCATATAAAGAGAATTGAACATGTTCAGCTCTGGGTTCTAATGAAGGAAGAAAGCTGCCTATGTGTTATTTCTACCATCATACGGACCAGGTACCTAAATTTTTTTCAACCATTCTCCTCTTTTGAATACGATCTTCACTTTACCTCAACCATTCTCCTCTTTTCAATCCGTCCTTCTCTTTAACTCAACCATTCTCCTATTTAAAATTCTTCTTTCTCTTTAGCTCAACACATTCTTCTCTTTTTAATCCGTCATTCTCTTTAACTCAACCCATCCATTTCTTTTCAATCCGTCATACTCTTTAACTCAATCTATCCTTCTCTTTTCAATCCGTCCTTCTCTTAAACTCAACCTATTCTCCTCTTTTTATTCCGTCCTTCTCTTTAACTCAACCCATCCTCCTCTTTTCAATCCTTCCTTCTCTTTAACTCAACCCATCCTCCTCTTTTCAATCCGTTCTTCTCTTTAACTCAATCCATCCGTCTCTTTTCAATTCGTTCTTCTCTTTAACTCAATCCAACCTTCTCTTTTCAATCCGTCCTTCTCTTTAACTCAACCCATCCTTCTCTTTTCAATCCGTACTTCTCTCTAACTTAACCCATCCTTCTCTTTTCATCCATCCTTCGCTTTCACTCAACCCATTTTTCTCTTTAGCTCAACACATTCTTCTCATTTTAATCCGTCCTTCTCTTTAACTCAACCCATCCATTTCTTTTCAATCCGTCATACTCTTTAACTCAATCCTCTCTTTTCAATCCGTCCTTCTCTTTAACTCAACCTATTCTCCTCTTTTTATTCCGTCCTTCTCTTTAACTCAACCCATCCTCCTCTTTTCAATCCTTCCTTCTCTTTAACTCAACCCATCCTTCTCTTTTCAATCCGTCCTTCGCTTTCACTCAACCCATTTTTCTCTTTTCAATCCGTTCTTCTCTTTAACTCAACCCATCCTTCTCTTTTCAATCCGTCCTTCTCTTTAAATCAACCCAATCTCCTCTTTTCAATCCGTCCTTCTCTTTACCTCAACCTATCCTTCTCTTTTTAATCCGTCCTTCTCTTTAACTCAACCTATTCTCCTCTTTTCTATCCGTCCTCCTCTTTAACTCAACCCATTCTCCTCTTTTTAATCCGTCCTTCTTTGTAACTCAACCCTTTCTCCTCTTTTCAATCCGTCCTTCTCTTTAAATCAACTATTCTCCTGTTTTTAATCCGTCCTTCTCTGTAACTCAACACATTCTTCTCTTTTCTATTCGTCCTTCTCTTTAAGTCAACTATTATCCTATTTTAAATTCTTCTTTCTCTTTAGCTCAACACATTCTTCTCTTTTCAATCTGTCCTTCTCATTAACTCAACTCATCCATTTCTTTTCAATTCGTCATACTCTTTAACTCAATCCATCCTTCTCTTTTGAATCCGCCCTTCTGTTTAACTCAACCCATCCTTCTCTTTTCAATCCGTCCTTCTCGTTAACTCAACCCATCCTCCTCTTTTCAACCCGTTCTTTTCTTTAACTCAACCCATTCTCCTCTTTTCTATCCGTCCTTCTCTTTAACTCAACCCATCCTCCTCTTTTCTATCCGTCCTTCTCTTTAACTCAACCCATCCTCCTCTTTTCTATCCGTCCTTCTCTTTAACTCAACCCATCCTCCTCTTTTCTATCCGTCCTTCTCTTTAACTCAACCCATCCTCCTCTTTTCTATCCGTCCTTCTCTTTAACTCAACCCATCCTCCTCTTTTCTATCCGTCCTTCTCTTTAACTCAACCCATCCTCCTCTTTTCTATCCGTTCTTTTCTTTAACTCAACCCATTCTCCTCTTTTCTATCCGTCCTCCTCTTTAACTCAACCCATTCTCCTCTTTTCTATCCGTCCTCCTCTTTAACTCAACCCATTCTACTCTTTTCTATCCGTCCTCCTCTTTAAATCAACCCTTTGGATTTTTTATTTAATCAATATTTTCATTTTGCATTTATGTCTGCATTTTCTGCACTGACATGATGCAGACACTGAGTACACAATTTATTGCACAATTGTTTGCATAAATATTATGCAACTGCATGCTGTTCAGAAAAAGATCTAACCCATAGTGGGGACTGGGGAGTGGGGGGGGAGGGACGGGGCAATTTTTTAAGGATTAAAACATCCGGTCATGATTAATTTTTGCATATTCAGAGAATTAAAGAAGCAAGCTAAATAAAAAATTTTAAAAAATAAAAATAAAAAAATTATTTAAACCATGGGTTAAACTCAAACACTGCAAATATTGTATGACATGGAACAGTTGGTTTGTTTTTAACAATAAAAAACCAGAACAATAAAAAAATGCAAAAATACCTCACTATGGCTTCAGTATGAAACCTTATCTCGGTACAATATCTTAAATTATGTTAATTAATATAAAGTATATTTTAAAAAAATCTACATAAAATTAATCAGTGAATGAAGATTATCGAAAAAAATTAAAGTAAAATTAATGAAAAAGTCTAAACTAAGTCGGCGGAATCTATTTTCTTTTAATCATGAAATATCACAAAAATTGTAATTTTTGAAAATTTTTTTGCACATTTTGAGTCATATTTCAGTTTTAACAATCCTAAATCACACAACTTTATTCGACATTTAAATTAAAAGAAAATTCAATTATTTCACAGAAAACATCAATTATTTCACAGTTTCTGTTTCTGTATGTTTAATGGCTGAAAAAGGGACTAAAGAGGGAATTAACATATAATAAAAGCTTTGTCACTTGAAATTACGTGTACAGTCCCTTTATTAAATGTGATCAAGGATCATGCTGATGAAGATGAAGATGTGAACAACAATGATCAAGATGACGATCATTTGGAGTTAGATGAAGCCTTTTCTGAACCTCTTAATAGAGCGTAAGTTATAATAATAATAGTGATAATAATAATAATAATAACAATAATGATAATAATAATAATAATAATAATAATAATAATACAACGAGACACATAAAACTGTGGAAATGGAAGACGACGGCAAAAGTCAGGTAATGATGATAGTTCAATAAACATAAAACACAGAAATTGTTCAGTTTACACAGACCCAGTTCTATTTCTAAACTAATAAAACTATTTTCTTTATAATAGCATCAAATACACATTAGGCGTAAATGTCGTCTTCCTATTTAACTGTTTTTCAAGGTTTTCCCCTGGAAGAAAACCTGAATAAATTTCCTTCAATACTACAAACATTTAATAGCTGTTGCGCGTATTGTAAAATTAGTATAGGACCGAAGCATGTAATTTGCTATTTATTTATCGTTTGCTAAAGGTCGTCTTTTTAATGTACATGTAATGAAATTAAAAGTGGTCATTTGTATTCATGTTTAATCAATTTAACAGTCAGTGCATAAGATTAAGAAACTCTCATCATAACTTTGCTTGTATCTTCTTTAGAAATTCACAAAATGTTTTCTTAAAAATGTTCAAGAATTTCTGATTAGCTGAATGAAATGTTTTAGAATTTATAGAAGGGATTAAAGTTAATTACCGGGAATTTAGATATTTAATGATTGTTTGTTTAATGAAAATATAAAATTTTCAAGACGCTATATTTAACTTATTTTTCGGCAAAATAAATTTTATCTTGAAATTTGAATTTTCGGTTTCCAAAATGTCTACAGGAGGGGAAATTAGAGAAATTGAAAATGTTGAATAATTAAGCATAGATTAAAAAATACAGATAGAACACTTTATGCTGTCTTTTCAAGATTTACGAGTTTTTCGTTCACATAATCCTGAGGCAGAAGCGCAAAGGAGTTGTGCGCCCGTTGAATTACAAGACAGACAGAGTTCATTCGGGTAACTTGGCCTTTGCCCAAACGAAAAAGATAAAGTTCAAGAAAAGTGTACGCACTTTGCATAAACCTAGATAAACATTATTTACCCTAAAGAGACTGTATACGTCATATATTAATAACAAAACAGATAGATCAATAGATGTCGTCTTTTCAAGATTTAGGGGTTTTTTGTTCACAATAACCCTAAGGAGTTACGCGCATGCCGCGTTGAATGACAAGACAGAGAGAGAGTGCATCTAGTTTGTTATAATTCTATGGTAGTAGACGTCGTACTTTCAAGCAAAACTTTATACGATTCAAAATCACGGTACATTCAACATTGATCCAGTTCTTTTCATGTACTGGGCCGTTCAACTAGCCTGGACAAACAGTACAGTACAAATAAGACTATAATAAGAGGCATAACGGGACTGTAAACCAAATAAATGATTCGCTTTTAGCTCGAAATTTATGTGCAAAGGGATATCTTTATTTTTCTTTCTAAAATTGACTTTAAATGCAATTGAAACTCCGTCAACATTCTCTTTAAGTAGATTTGTTAGTTTACAAGATAAAACATGCCTAGTAGTGGACACCCGTTTGAAAAGATATTATTTACCTGCACTTGCACAACCTTATCTATAGACGTTAAATTCTAGAACTTTTTCGTCTAAGACGTAACTGCAAGACGTAAGTTCATGTGACCCATCTACTATCTAGGAATAGGATGGGAAAAACTATCTAGTATTAGAAATCGAAAAATTTTTACAAACTGTTAAATACAACATTTTAAAAATTTTAGAAATCGAATTCAAAACGAAAGTAATTTTAAATATAAATTTGCTTTTATATCCTATAAATGTCAAAACTGATGAACCGATTGGTCCCAAATTTTGAGTTGCAACTCATATGAACCATGAGGGAAGGCTTTTGGCTGGTCAAAATTCTGCCTTGAAATAAATGTTATCAGAAAAATGATAAAATCCGCGAAAGCTTGAGTTTTACAGTAACGAAGAGAAAAAGTGGATTGAACAACAACATCTAAAGGCTAAAATTGTTATTGAAGGGGGTGCGATGTGCTCTATAAGCCTAGTCAAAATAAAAAGTTTTTCGCGATGTAAGATAAACATTATTATTAAACTTAAAATCAATTGTTTAAATTTGAACAGTTGTTAGATAAGCAATTTTTTGCTTGTACAACTTTAGCTGTTCCCGTTAATGGGCCAGTAAGTAAATAAGTAATTTCCCAATTTCTATCAAATACTTTTATTTAGGTTAGAGCACTGTTCTTCTTGCCCCCCCCCCCTGTACCAAATTGTCACTTTTATGACGTTACCAAAATTGTCATTGCCAAATTGTCGTTAAACCAAATTGTACCTTACCAAATTGTCATTACCAAATTGTCGTTAAATCAAATTATACCTTACCAAATTGTCATTACCAATTCGTTAAACCAAATGCCACCTTACCAAATTTTCATTACCAAATTGTCATTACCAAATTGTCATTACAAAATTGTCATTACCAAATTGTCATTACCAAATTATCATTACCAAATTGACATTACTAAATTATCATTACCTAATTGTCATTACCAAATTGTCATTACCAAATTGTCATTACCAAATTGTCATTACCAAATTGTCATTACCAAATTGTAATTACCAAATTAACATTAACAAAACTCCGCCCCCCCCCTTGTATACCTTGTTTGTGTTACGATATTTGGCTCATCAAATGTAGGTCAATAAGTAAATGTGAAATGTGTATATAAACATAAAATATACATTTATTATAAATATATGTATACGAAAAATTTCGACAATTACATGTTTTTTTTTCTGATTTTCTAAAAATATGTTTTTTCGTCAATTATATTAATTCTATACTCAGGAGACTAGTATCTACCCGTGTCACCCTGTATTTACTCAGGAGACTAGTATCTACCCGTGTCACCCTGTATTTACTCAGTAGACTAGTATCTACCCGTGTCACCCTGTATTTACTCAGGAGACTAGTATCTACCCGTGTCACCCTGTATTTACTCAGTAGACTAGTATCTACCCGTGTCACCCTGTATTACTCAGGAGACTAGTACTACGCGTGTCACCATGTATTTACTCAGGAGACTAGTACTACCCGTGTCACCCTGTAATTACTCAGGAGACTAGTAACTACCCGTGTCACCCTGTATTTTGTCTAAACTCTAAACTAGTTTATACCGGATTGTAGCTTTCTTCTCTCTATGTCTCTCGGGCTTAAAACAGCGTCAGAAAAAGGAGGTTATAGTATATAGAAATAGAGGAACTATGTACAAGTATACGCTAAACTTTGATCATGATCAGAGTTTAGTTACTTTACTATCTTGCCACCAGGATTCCGAGCAGGGGCTCATTCCAGGAAGTTTTTTAATATTTTTATCAAAATAGAAATTCAAAATACTTTAAATTGCACGCAGATTTACGGCGATTGATTAATATTGAAGATTTTTGCATAATAATATAAATAACTTTTCTAAATATTATTTATGTATACAAACAATCAGAATATTAATTTTACATTTTTTAATCTTTACCTGCTATAAACTGTTCATTGGACAAAAAAACAAGATATCAGTATGGGCCTTAAATGTCAGTTCAGCTGTTTTGATGTTTATTGAATTCAAAAACTAAAAAAACTTAAGCCATATATTTTATATATAGAATACATGGAAATCTATTCCAATTTCTTTCAGATTGAACAATTATCATATTTATCAGATGCCTTCAAATTAGCTTATGAAAATATCTGAAAAATATATGATAAATACGGGAAAAGAACAATTGAGTCGAATTCACTAAATAAACGAGAAATTTCTAGCTTAATCTGAATAATAAAGGGAATATAGACGTAATTTCGAGTCTTAATCTGAATAATAAAGGGAATATAGACACAATTTCTAGCATAATCTGAATAAGAAAGGGAATATAGACGTAATTTCTTGCTTAATCTGAATAATAAAGGGAATATAGACGTAATTTTTAGCTTAATCTGAATAATAAAGGGAATATAGACGTAATTTCTAGCTTAATCTGAATAATAATGGGAATATAGACGTAATTTCTAGCTTAATCTGAATAATAAAGGGAATATAGACGTAATTTCTAGCATAATCTGAATAATAAAGGGAATATAGACGTAATTTCTAGCTTAATCTGAATAATAAAGGGAATAAAGACGTAATTTCTAGCATAATCTGAATAATAAAGGGAATATAGACGCATTTTCAATTAACTTCCGATTTAAAGATCAATATTGTGGAAGATACTGTCGTTATTACCTTGAAAAGTGTTTAATTCTTACAATTTCTCCAATGTTGCTGTAGCAAATCCACATAAAAAACCATATTAAAAGGAAGAAAAAAACGTGAATTTTATTCTTTCTAAATCAGGCAAAGTTTTAAAGGGTATCGTTGTTAATTAGAAATGCCCCTTTTGCAGAAGTTTCACTTAAAATTACGGCTCTAGTCCCTTTAAAGGTTCTGAGCTAGTAGTGATCCAGGGTAAAGATTTGACCCAGTATCTAATCTGGAATCATTGTATTCAAATTAGGTTGTTTTTAGCATAAAGCATACGTAGGCTACTTACATATAGGATTAGAGTCAGTTTGTAGTCTAAGTCAGGGATATTAGACCTAAACCACAGATTGGAGACTGAATTTAATGAATTTGAGCAACATCACTGAACAACCTATTGCCGGTTCAAATCTGGTAAAGATTAAAGAAGGATTTTAATCGGTGATTTAAATTTGATCCTGAGGTAGGAAGTCCAAATTCATTAAATTCGGTGCTGGGACTGTTATTACACTTGTGCACAAGTGAATATCTAGCTCTTTAGAAAAAATACGGACTTTTCCCTATTTCTCACAAAAAAAATTTGAAAAAGCCTGATATTTAATTTAGAAAAACCCAAAGTGTCGCCATAAAAAAATAGTTAAAATTGATTGGCCGATAACAAGTACAATATGAATAAAAGCGAAAGGTGAAAAGAAACGACGATCAGGGGCGGATACAGAATTTAAGTGAGGGGGGTGCTAGATTTATTTCGGAACAAAAAAATCCAGATTTAGGAAGAAAAAGATAAATATTTTTTCTGTTTTGCACTAGGTTTTCTTTCACTTAAGTGCTATTAAGAAGCTATTCTCAAATATCAGGGGGTGGGAAGTTCCTGCTTCCCCCTGTATCCGCCCCAGGCGACGATTAATATTTTTTGACTCTCACGTTTTTTTAAAGGACCAGTCTGATTTTTTTTATCTTTAATTGATTTTTATAAAACACGAAAATAGCAGAAAATATTCCCACAAATAAATGATTTTAACTTTAGATCGGCATCTTAACATCTTAAAATTGATATTTTAATTGTAGTTTCGGGTTCTCCAAAAAAGTGACTTCCGCATTTATGCAGCCGAAAATTTTTTAAAAAATTGTCAGAATTTGCCCCTTTTCAAGTTATAAAAACGACTACAAATTCCTTTTTAATAAATGGAGAGTCACTTGAAATTAAATGTACAGTCCCTTAGAATAAAGTAAAAACATCAATTGTTGACAACATACAAGATTAAATTGAAAATAAAAGTTCCAATAATTGAAGAGGCTTATAGACAGACTAGTCACGTTGTGTCGATAAGAGACAAATAATGTGCAGGGGCTATTCCCTACTAGCACCAGGGTAAAATATTGGCTACACAAATGTTAGTTTTTAGAGTTGATTTGGGAGTAAAAAATTTATATTTTGAATTATGTTATTTTTCTTAATTTAAAAAATGGGCATTATTTAAATCTGGTTTAACTTGAGAAGGGAAATCAGATAGTTAAGTCAGTTGTTTAAATGCGGTAATCGTTGCATATATCAATACAATGAAGACGACTTTCGATTTAAATTTTTTATTTCTACCAAGCTTTCAAACATCATATAATACACATATATATGAAAACAAAAACTGGCGGTCAATTGACAGCTTCTCCTTGGTTACTTGAAAAGTGATATAAGAAAGCATTGTTAGAAATCAAGACTTAAATAGAAAAGTCGTATTTATTGTATTGACATAAAGGTGAAATAGATGTAAGGTTTGGGGGATAGGGTTTCTGACACATTTGGCCGTGACGTATGGTTTTATCAAAACAATAACAAAGATAGTAAACAAAGGTCATAAACTAAGGGATGTAATCCGTCGTCTTTGCAAGGAGAGAGATCAGAGATTGGAACTTTTGAATGGGATATCCTTAATCCTGATCGGATAATCAATCTGGAGATTAAAAATGAGTGGAGAACAAGCAATATTTAATCTGCAGATTAAGAAAAAGAGTGGATTAAGCCTTAATCCCGATATCCACCATTCTAAAGTTTTCAGCTCAGGGTTCATATAGATCAAATGTTGACATACAGTACATCGGACAATTATGTATTGCGGCATCTGTCCGTATCAAGTGTACATAGATCTGAGCCTGAAATTTAAAAGAGTATCGTTGAACAAAACTCCTGAGTTTCCTTTTTGGGGTCTTAACACTTTTGTAGATTTTGTTTTAAGAGATTTGAAAAAAATGGAGACTATAAACAAACTGAATTATATAATATTTCTATAACAAAAATATTTATTTTCACAAAACTCCTTAACCCCGTTCATAAAACCGGGGGTTTTAGAACTGGTTTTAATAACGATACCCTGTCTTAAGTTTTGGGCTCTGGGGGTGAACAATCTGTTTACAGTTTTTCCTCGAATTTTAGTTTTAGCATGAAGCAATGCATTTTGATTTAAAATTAGAATGATATTTACTACAAAAATCCTCCACTTCCTTTAATTTGCACGTTAACCTTTATGTACAATGTTCAGGGGTCTGTACGATTTTCTGTCAGCATTTTATACCCAAACCTTTCTCCGTCGTAACTTGAATGGGCAGGATATATAAAACTCTTTTTATTTTTCAACACCAGCAGAACTAATCCAGCACAGAATAGCCTGTACCCCCCCCCCCCAACACAAACACACATCTATTTTTTTTTGTAATTAGTAAACTAAAAGATAAACTGTATTTTCATTAAAAAAATGATAATATTTCAGAATCCCCCTATGCCTGAATATTTTCAGGCAGGTAGAATATATATTTTTATATATATGGTTAGGATGAAAATGCAGATGTTTAAGTGTGAATAGTGTGAATCCCCCCCTAGCTTACTCTCCGGGACTCAGTTCTGAGAGAGATACAACTTTGGAACGGGATACACACACCTTAGATATACATAAATATAGACTAATCATCAGTGAATTGAATATCATAAAAATATATTCGAAAAAATGAAAATATTCAACATGAATAGCAGGTAGGTTATATAAATTAAATTGCTTTTTTATTAAGAAAATCTATATAATAAAACAAGACGTTCGTATATATATATATATATATGTTGCCCATAGCCGACCAAACGGCTGGACCGATTGAACTGACATTTTTTGGTTGTTATAGGCTAAAAAAATCGGGCTTTTTTTAATTAAAAAAAAACAATTTTCTCACGGGCAACGCCGGGCCATTCATCTAGTAAATACTAAATAATATAGTATTATGAATAATTTTTGCGTATCAATGTTTAAAACTTTTGACGAAATTCAACGCCAACTAAAAAGCGTTACCTAGCTTTTTGGTTGAACTTTCTTCATTTGATTATCGTAGCTTTCCTGCTTTCTTTTCATCAAAACATAGATACAAGCCGGGATTCAGAGTGTTCAAAATTGTATCTCTGGTTGTATCCAATCCTAAGAAATGCGCAAAATGTCAACTAGAAAACTTGACAGCGCCAATCAAGCTACGTTGATTTTAGGCCAAAATATATTAATTTATGAATTAAAGAGTCAGTTCTCGATATTTCAGTGGAAAGGTGGCTGATGTGATGAATGGTGTCTCCAATATTCTCCAGTTTTGGAGAACCTTCATTATCATCCTGACTCCTATTCTTCTCTCACCTTTACTCTCAGAGATTGGAACTTCAGAAGCAAAGTATGAATATTATCAACAAAAACAGATGAAAAAAGGATTTTTTACTGTTTTTGAATCAAATGAAGGGACTTCAATTATTACTGTAATTATTTTAATTGAAATTACGCTTACAGTCCCTTTAAAATATAATTTAACAATACTGCTGATGATAACTATTAATAATGATGATAATTATTAATAATGATATTAATGATAATAATAATAATATTGCTAATTACAAGGATGATAATTTTGACAAGTTTGTAATTTTGGTCCAATATGAATTTATGAAAAAAAACTGATAATAGATCTTTACAAATTCTATTGTATAAATAATCAGAATACAAAGACAACATTAGATGTGGATTTGTGATACTACTGATGGCAATATATTGGGTTACAGAGGCAATACCTCTACCTATCACAGCTCTTCTTCCTGTTATTCTCTTTCCAGTTCTAGGCATTTCTTCATCCTTATACCTTTTTATTTATTCAGTCTTTCACTATTCCCTTCTATTTCGAATATATTCATTCATCTTACAATTATCGAGATTATACATTTAATTAGCTGTCGTTTCTTCTATTCTATGTGTTAACATTCATTATATTTTTCTTTTGTTCATCATTATTCATCCACTAAGGGAAACTATAAGATCGTTTATAAATCACACGAGAAAACTAAATGAGCCTTGCCGCGTAGCTTGATGTGGAACCCTTCTCAAGAGGTCAGTTATTGTCTTCCACAATTTCATATATTAGTTAATCAATATAATTCATCCCGTAATCTTTTCCTTTATGTATCAATTCATTAATCTTTTTGTCATACAAATTTTTAATTACTGTTTTGCGGATTTATAAAAACAATTTTCAAGGATTTTCGGCAGAAATGTTAATTATTACTGAACATAAAAAAAATGAAGGATGCATCAAGGTGTTATGACAACGGATGATGTTTGTGTCAAATATCTGAAAGAATCCAACATGATGTTTGTTGGTGGACTCATTGTAGCAATTGCGGTTGAACATTGTCGCCTTCATCAGAGAATAGCTCTCAGAGTTCTACTGCTTATAGGTTGGAAACCATCTTTTACTAAAAATATCAAATAACATGAAATTGATAAAATTTCCTATTTCACAGTTTTATGTATCCCAAGATATGAAAAATACTTTCAAAAAGATTATATTACGTTGTAAACTTTTTATAAACAAGAGGTCAGAGATTATGTATGATATCGCAGTGGATACTGTTTATTTTGAAACAATTCAGTTCTTAATCCGTGAAAAACAGCTAACTGGCATTATCGCAATATTTTATTGGCTGAGAGCAGATTTCTGTTGCTTCTAATTGGTTAAATCTTCAATCCATCCAAACTTATTCCGTAAAACAGAAAAAGATACTGATTAGTGATTTTCAGAAAGTGAAGAGTACGACATTTGATGAATTCTTTCGATGTATTCGTTATTAAGGGTTTCACTGTACCTATTGCCTAAGTCCTCAGGCATACACTCTGAATGCCTGATTTTACCTTTACTAGACTAAATCTATAATTAGGCCTACTTCCAGTCATTGGATTTAAAAATTTTATAGCTCTTTAAAAAGCCTACAACAAAAGAAAGCAAATGGCGTAATTTTTGCAAAGAATTGTGCGTAGATTTGGCAAAGACATTTTTAAAGGGAATTCGCACAATTTTGGTTTTCTTGAATACACATTAAGGTTTTGAAAATCGAAAAAAGTTTCGCTGCAATGGTCAAGGGCTTTTCAAATATGTATAATTTGACCTATTTCGCTTTTTAGTTTTTTGCACACTTTTTGCCAAATAATTAAATTTCGCAATAAATAGTTGGATTTTTGCAAATTTACATTTTTTTTCTTCAGATTATTGAAGTTCAGCCGAAGGGCTTTCAAAAATGTATCAAACGTTATGGATTTGTATCACAAGAAGGAAATAGAGGGAGGGTCCCCGGGACCGCCCCCCCCAGACTATTTTGGGTAAACAAGATGTCAGTCGGAATAGGGTTAACAATACTAAAGTTTCGACCTAAAATTTGTTTGTTCAGGAACCAGTCCGCGACTATTAATGCTGGGGTTTATGCTCCCCACCATGTTCCTCTCCATGTGGATCTCAAACACCGCCACCACCGCCATGATGGTCCCTATCGTCGAGGCTGTTCTTGCCGAAATCAACGGTGACCATCTTGAGTCCGGCGGCCTCGAGACTATCTCAGAGGAGAAGGATTTGGTGTATCGGAAGCAAGAACTAGATTCCGATGAGAAGAAAGCAAAAAAGCGGAAAATCCGCATCATGATTTATCTTTCAGTTGCATACGCGGCAAATGTTGGCGGAACCGGTACACTCACCGGCACAGGACCAAACCTAGTTCTTAAAGGTATAAATGCAAGATAAAGTTCTACATTTAAAGGGACTGTAAGCGTAATTTCATGTCACCCTCTATGCAAAGATGACTATATCCAATTTACAAGGTTTTTCTTATCAAGTATGAATTTGGTATTAATGTTTTTAATTTCGAAAAAAGATTATTTTCAATTGTGGTTTCTCTACAAAAGTGACTAGCGTATTTCTACTGCAGGAAAACATATGGGAATTATCAGAAAAAAACTTTTAGAGCTAAAATAACGACAATATCTTACACATCATTTATTAATAAAGGTTTTAAGGGTACTGTTTTTAATAATGCTGTCTTTGAATGAAGGGGTCACTGAAAATTACGATTACAACTCCTTTCAAGAATTCCATTTGACAAGGTATCCTTTCGTTCTTTATATATTAGAGATATTTTTGTTTTTCAACCTAAAAATTGAAAAAATACCGGCCAAGAAATCGTTGATACCACGTCAACGTTAACTGTCCAATTAATTTTTTAAATTTAGAAGGTCTACAAATCCATTTGATTTATAATTTAAAAAATCGACATATCTCTTTATTTATAATTTAAAAAATCTAATATCTCTTTATTTATAATTTTAAAAATCTACATATCTCTTTAATTTATAATTTAAAAAATCTACATGTTTCTTGGAGTTCTAGATTTAAAAACGTCTACATATCTCTTTAATTTCCAAATCTTAAACCTCTACATATCTCTTTAATTTATAGTTAGAAAAATGTGCATATCTCTTTAATTTATAGTTTAAAAATCTACATATCTCTTTAATCTATAATTTCAAAAAATCTACGTATCTCTTTAATTTATAGTTTAAAAAATCTACATTTCTCATTAATTTATCATTTAAAAAATCTACAGATCTCTTTAATTTATAATTTTAAAAATCTACATATCTCTTTTATTTATAATTTAAGAAATCTACATATCTCTTTAATTTATCATTTAAAAACTCTACATATCTCTTTAATTTATAATTTAGAAAAATCTACATATCTCTTTAATTTATAATTTAAAAAATCTAATATTTCTTTAATTTATAATTTAAAGCGTCTACATATCTCTATCAAGGAATGTTGAGTACTCTGTTTGGTGACACTCCTATTAATTTTGCAAGTTGGATGGGATTTGCTTGTCCTATTATGCTTCTAAACCTAGGCAAGGAATATATCAAGAACACCATTAGCTTCGTTTTATAAATATAGTGTACTGCAGCAGTTCTACCATGAAGATTGATACTGACTGATGAATTTTGTTTTCTGCTCTGGGCGGGGAACTTTTGTGTCGGATACCCTAATCCTGATCCTAGCCCTAATCTAATCTAATCTAATCCTGATCACTTGATCTCGATGTCCGCTGTGTGCACTTTTAATTTGAAGTGCAATGTTAGATCTAATCAATTCAGTTCTCCCTTCAGGAATATCGAATAAAGATCAAATTAATCTACAGATTATAACAAAAGGTCAAATTAATCTACAGATTATAACAAAGGATCAAATTAATCTACAGATTATAACAAAAGATCAAATTAATCTACAGATTAACAAAAGATCAAATTAATCTACAAATTCACAAGAGATCAAATTTATTCTACAGATTAACAAAAGATCAAATTAATCTACAAATTAACAAGAGATCAAATTTATTCTACAGATTAACAAAAGATCAAATTAATCTACAAATTAACAAGAGATCAAATTTATTCTACAGATTAACAAAAGATCAAATTAATCTACAAATTAACAAGAGATCAAATTTATTCTACAGATTAACAAAAGATCAAATTAATCTACAAATTAACAAGAGATCAAATTAATCTACTGATTAACAAAAGAGCAAATTAATCAAAGATTGTAGAGTTGATGATATATTCTTTGAATCTAGTAATAACCTGGGCCTGGCTTCAGCTATACTTCATGGGGGTTCCCTGGGGGAAAAATAGGGTAGGTTTATGCACCTCAAGATAAACTAGATTTATATCTTAAATGTTTTCAATCATAACTCATCTATTTGAAGGGCTATTTATAAAGAAAAAGCATGTTTTGAACAACTATTGTATGCAACCAAATGAATTTCATTTTCTTAAACTTCAATGTAAGTTCAAAAATAGAAGATTTACGATATTTGTACTGATTATTTTTTAAATTATTTAATATTAATGTAATGATAAAATATTAATAATAATAATTATTATAAAAATAATAATAATAATAAT